ACAAAGCAGGATTAACACGGAAATCGATAATACTACAGTGAAAAATGAACAAAGGGATGATTAACACGGAAATCGATAATACTACAGTGAAAAATGAACAAAGGGATGATTAACACGGAAATCGATAATACTAGAGTGAAAAATGAACAAAGGGAGGATTAACACGGAAATCGATGACACTAGATTGAAAAATGAGCAAAGGCAGGATTAACACGGAAATCGATAACACTAGAGTGAAAAATGAACAAAGGCAGGATTAACACGGAAATCGTTAACACTAGAGTGAAAAATGAACAAAGGCAGGATTAACACGGAAAACTATAAAACGTAGAGAAGAAGACCAGGTGCTCCTGAAGGGTATGCGTCTGCTTCATCGCCGACACCCGCCATGTACATATAAGTCAAACGTCCCAGTAATAGCACGTCCTCATGAATCTAACGTTATGTTACTCTGTATTAGGATGAAGCTTGGCTTGTGTGTCTCGTGATAGAACACATAACAAGACAGTGGCTATATATGTTAATAACGCTAACCACCCAGTCTTTTGTTTTACACTTACATATCATTTGATGGCAGCTCCAGGAAATACACACATTAATTCAGTAAAGCAGAATAGAAATATATGTCAGGACGTTATGGCAAAATAATACCACAGTAACAACAAACAAATAAACCACAGCGTCAACACCCAAGGACAAACTGGAAACTCAAATTTGAAAGAGGAGAGCATCGGAAAACAATATTAAACCAAATACAAGAGAAAATACTTTATAAAACCTGTAGTCCCGATAATGTACGTTTTATTTACCATTGGCACATGTCTTTATCTAATCCTAATTCAAGTTTAAACACGTGTTCGTAAACTAAGGAGGCTGACATGTTACTGCCGAGGAAAGGTAATTAACCAAGGTGGACATAGAGTCTGGTAACAAGATAGACACTATTAGTATAACTGAAGATGTATGTAACTGTCCAGATATAACGCTAATTAAGTAAAATGTGTTTTTTGTATACAATTTTCAAGTTCTTGAAGAAAGAGAATGGAAATAGTTCTCGAAATTCTTCTCAATCAAGGATAAATTATCATTAACATATCTGAATGGGAAATTTAATAATTCACCAATTAACGAGCTTTAGTAGCTTTTATATTAATTCGGCTCCGAACAATGCAAAAAATAAATCGAATAGAAGTTTTTTTCACATTCCTCTAAAATTGGGGTACAAATTATCCATCTATAAAAAAAACTATTATTCCACCTTATTCAATAGCTGTGTAAGGCCACAAGTTTAATTCAGCTTACAACATACTTAACTGCGAGACAGAGTTTATGTTTAGCATGAAAAATGGAGATATATACATTACGTTAAACCTGGAATATACATTACGTTAAACCTGGAATATACATTACGTTAAACCTGGAATATACATTACGTTAAACCTGGAATATACATTACGTTAAACCTGGAATATACATTACGTTAAACCTGGAATATACATTACGTTAAACCTGGAATATACATTACGTTAAACCTGGAATATACATTACGTTAAACCTGGAATATACATTACGTTAAACCTGGAATATACATTACGTTAAACCTGGAATATACATTACGTTAAACCTGGAATATACATTACGTTAAACCGCTATATAAATTATTATTTCAGATAATTCTGGAGATTCCAAGTTTTCCGAATGTTCTTCAGTATTTTACAAAATCTACATCAGATTCCCTAGCGGAATTAACTGCAAAAGGATTAAATCAGTTTACCACTGAAGGTGAGAGTACCCAAAATGGAACGGAACCCAAAATGGAAATCTTTAAATAAAGTTGATGCTGCATTTTTATTTTTCAATGCGAATGAGTTATATGTCTATTCCTAATCACAATGTATAGAGTTTTACGCAATTGGAGCATATTTCGACCGCATACCACTTAAATATTGCTCATTCAAATTATTTGAAAAATGAATTAAAATAAAACCCTTGGTACGGTACGGTGCGACAACATAAATACCCGATCACCTTTGTAAGCATAGACAAATATTTGTTTTAACGAATAAATGGCTAAAATTTGTCAGAAAATGTCGAAACTGTTTTTAAATGAAGAAAAAACTTTAAATGCTCTCAGTAATTCTCATAAGCTGTCAGACGAGGAGGTGTTCATTTTGGAAACTCTGACAGCTTGAACTTCCAAATAAACCTTACTCAACTAAATGAGCTCTATAAATAAATCTTGATACCCAGGAATTACATAAAACGAAGGCTAAAATAATCTATTGTCACATTGACTCTCTCCCCAATCAATATTTTTTCTTTAAAAAGTGTTCCATTGTAGGTACATTCTCCTTAATTAGATGACTATTAATTATGACAAGAAGAAAGGTTAATTGATATAATTCAGTTTGTTAAATTTTTCAAAGGAAATAGTATTTGTATCACCTTTTTGAGCGAATAACAACCCTTCCTCTCCAAAAAACAAACAGACCAAAACAAAAGAAAACAAACAAACGGGATATTGAGAGACTGTTTAATCCTGGATTAAGGTTCCTTGTTAATAGACATTGAATAAGGATGGCCATTTCGAGTCCGATTGGTTTACTCTTAATGCGTAGAGTGATTCGGCGAGTTAAAACACCTTCAAACGTACAGTGCAAGCTCTTGGAGACAGTTATTTCCCCAAGTTGTGTTATAATTCACATATGTCATTACTTTTTCCTCCTCCTTGCATCGCGGATTTGGTTCCATTACCATGTTTGATACCTAATACAGCGCGATGGTATTTCGCACCTCCAGATCATCCGACACGGGCACGTCAACAACTGACGAGTTGACTAATTATCCATATCAATGGTCTTAGTAGTACCAACGACTCGTACTGGACCATGTTTCGTCCTTAGGCTACTCTAGTAAGGGTTTTACTTATGATTCTCCACAAACTAAAGCAATATCGACTATATAGAATGTAGGTTTGGGCGCTTATTCTATTTATTAGTTTTTGTAATATTTAGGTTTAAACAATTGGAGGGAGATAATTCCCCCCCCCCCCCCCCAAAAAAATGATACACTTTTTTTGCTAATTTCAATTAAAATTGCGAATATTACCAAAGTATGTAAAATGCTTTCCTCTGCTCAGTCTATATAAGAAATATGACACGTTAAATAAACAGACAAGAAGACTGATGAATTAAAGAACTATCTTTTCAAATCAGCAAAAAATGAACGGGGACATCTACTTTCAAAGCAAGTTGACATCCGCGGACAATAAAACTGACAGTGATATATTTTGATAGCTATTATCTAAAATTCACACAGCTGATATGTTAATTCATATTTCAGCCGCGAAATGACACAAAACAACGCTGATAAAACACATGAAATAGTACAAACTGCCATTAATTTACCTGGAACCAAACACCGTTCCTTCATCACGCGCATGCAGATTGGGATAATGGCGAACATGACGATTAGAAAAACATAGTTTGCAAATAATAATAAAAAGGACATGAATTTCGTGATTTATTTTGTATGGCCTGAATCAAAATAACATAAAAAATATTAAAATATTAAAATTTCTACATACACAAACATGTAAAAAGCCGAGAAAAGTTGCGATATTATCGCTTAGACAGATGTAGGGTAAATGATAATGTTGTCTTTTCATGTTAAAATGAAGTGTAACTCAATATTTGTAATAATAACCAAGTTACGAGATCGTATATCTCTCCGCGCCTTATCAGGCACTTGCTAGAATACCCAGGTATGATATAGAGGTTGTGTCGGGGAGGAGAGGTACAGTGAATTTCATCTATATTACAGATCATGGAAACAGCTCATCTACACTCTCAAAGAACATACATGTATTACCTTTGTTTTTAAATTTCCATGCTTGATAAGTGTCTATATCTTCAAGACGGTACAGTCTTTGGTATACCATTAATAATCCATAACTAGAAGAATGATTGAAGCTAACACAACATGTGTTAACACAGAAATTGTCAGACTGTAAACCAAGGACTCAGTAGTGCGCAATATGTGAAAGTATTTTCCATCGGTTACAAAAAAAAGTCGGGCATTTTCGACCTACTCATCAGCATTTTAGAGCAGTTATTTTTTTTCTCTATAAATTCAAAGCAATGATGGAAAAGAAGGAAATTTCGTATAGTCTTCAAACTCTTTTAACGCTTTATGTCAACACGAAGAACAACGTCGTACATGCTAAAGAGTGTACATTTAATGCCATTTATCAATACACATCAGTAACACTAGAACAAATAATATACAGGAAACGTAAAGCTCCACAAAGCTTTGTATACGATATAGGGAGCTCTTTTAATGCATTATAAAATGATGAATATTATTAAAAATGAACATTATGTTTAAAGGAATGACGCTCATGATACAGCGTCACTCATAGCACAAAAATAAATCGCAATTCAAAAATCAAAATTTTGCTCCAACGAGATCTCATTATTTAAGAGATAAAATAATTTTCTTTTCAGCATTCATGAAGTAATAATAACATTAGCTTTCTGGACAATAAATTTCCTTCCTTATATTTACATTTTTAAGACATATTTACCATGAATAGCGAAAATAAATTTCATTCCTTATATTTACATTTTTAAGCGCTTTGAATATTCCGATGCAAGCATAAATAAAACAAATACATGTATTGTTTCCTATTTGTAAAATGTTGGTGGTCCTAGCAACAGCATGACAACAAAACAAACAAAATATAGTTACTTTTTCAAATTTAATTTGTAGAATTTATACAAGTGGTTTATTATCATCATGTACTTAACACACTTAATTTAAGCAGTAGAATCAAGTCAATCATGTTTAATATTAATTCATATTAGCATAACAAAACTACATCGAGAGCTGTTCCACGGCGGACGTGAACCACGTACGTCATGTGCTACGTCATCTTTAGTGTATCAACACGCAGTGATGAGGTCACCTGTGTTATGCAAAAAAGAATTTCATTTTCGTCAATGGGTCCAAGCATACAGAATGTAAATAATACATTATCAATTTTGCATAATTCAAAATCACGGTTTGACAAGCGTACAAAATCACGGGTTGACGAGCGTACAAAATCACGGTTTGACGAGCGTACAAAATCACGGGTTGACGAGCGTACAAAATCACGGTTTGACGAGCGTACAAAATCACGGTTTGACGAGCGTACAAAATCACGGTTTGACGAGCGTACAAAATCACGGTTTGACGAGCGTACAAAATCACGGTTTGACGAGCGTACAAAATCACGGTTTGACGAGCGTACAAAATCACGGTTTGACGAGCGTACAAAATCACGGTTTGACGAGCGTACAAAATCACGGTTTGACGAGCGTACAAAATCACGGTTTGACGAGCGTACAAAATCACGGTTTGACGAGCGTACAAAATCACGGTTTGACGAGCGTACAAAATCACGGTTTGACGAGCGTACAAAATCACGGTTTGACGAGCGTACAAAATCACGGTTTGACGAGCGTACAAAATCAAGGGTTGACGAGCGTACAAAATCACGGTTTGACGAGCGTACAAAATCAAGGGTTGACGAGTGTACAAAATCACGGTTTGACGAGCGTACAAAATCACGGTTTGACGAGCGTACAAAATCACGGTTTGACGAGCGTACAAAATCAAGGGTTGACGAGTGTACAAAATCACGGTTTGACGAGCGTACAAAATCACGGTTTGACGAGCGTACAAAATCACGGTTTGACGAGCGTACAAAATCAAGGGTTGACGAGCGTACAAAATCACGGTTTGACGAGCGTACAAAATCAAGGGTTGACGAGTGTACAAAATCACGGTTGGACGAGCGTACAAAATCACGGTTTGACGAGCGTACAAAATCACGGTTTGACGAGCGTACAAAATCACGGGTTAACCAGTGTTTGAATTTACGGTTTGGCAAGCGTACAAAATATCGGTTTGGCGAGCGTACAAAATCCTTGGTTACGGCACTCATTAAATTGTAGACGGTTTCAAAACTGTTTTAGAATCCTAGTTTAGCGACCGCTGATCTAATCTTGGAGTGTCATTTAAATATGAAAACGTCGACTAGACAGAGAAAAGTTAGAGGCAATATGATTCTTAGCAAGGCCATTAGGATAACACATAGATTGTGAACACGAAACGTGTGTGTATTTGTTATCTCCACCTAACGTATTTAACACCAACATGAAAATAGTATTATCAAATAATTTGTACTGATAAAAGAAAAGTAAAGAGCTTTTCATTTCAAGATATGCGTGGCTTTCCTTCCAGTTCTGTCTTCAGACACGAATAAAATGCTTTATTAGCATAGGTGAATGTATCGGTTTCCTATTGTACTGTGTAACTGCCGACATAACTAGCCCTAGTGAATACTTACCTGATTACAACTGCTACAGCTAATGACTTATCTTAGCAGGAAACGCATGATTTGTCTTACTTATTCTACGTACAAAGAAAGGAATACTTTGATTTGTATAATTGAGTAATATAAAACATCGGTGTATGTGTTGATATCCACCTAGGATGTTTAATCCGAGTTTTATAATTAGAAGTGCATGTTCATTGTTTATCTAGCTAGTCAAAATAACATCAATCATCTTAATGGCATTGATATAATACATGGCTAATGGAATACTGTAAAACACATCACAATATTGATGATGGGTTTTTTTGTATGTGGAAACTTCTCGCAATAACTTGTTTATCGAATTTACTAAAGCATTAACCGGCACGTTACCTTTGAACACTCAAATTGGATTCGATTGAATAACTAATTATGAGTGTTACGTAATCTCAGAATGAAACAAAGTACAAAACACAACGTTCCTGCTTTAGACAGGGAGTCGGGAGTGGGAATACGAATTCTGCGTTAGAGACCTATATCTCATTCTAGCTTCTATATTCCACGCCATGTCATAACGAATCGTGTTCTATATCAACCTATAGTCACGTCGTGTTACACATTACACAAGAGTGTTCTCCTACATAATATCTGTAAACCAGTATTATTCGCAATTATTTTTATATTGGTTTAAAACGTCTTAAAGTAAACTTAAGGTATTTTTAGTGTTTAATTACTCACAGGTCTAAACTCAGGGACAATTAGAGGATTGAGCTTCATGTCAGTATGTTCCATCTCCTCGAAACCTGAACCCAATCCATATAGGAGATGGCACCTTTAAAATTTGGTATTATATACAGTTTGCCAAAAATGAAATATACTTCCAAATAAGACTATTTAAAGCTATTCCCAATGCATAGCAACGCAAACTACAGTACAAAGAACGAACACCCAGTAAGGCCACCAAAGCGAAACTTTGATCAGAATTTAGTTATCATGTATAGTAACAAAATATGGCAATTCTGACCCAGATAGGTATCGTTACATTGCACAGATGCACATAACTATGACCACGGGAGTACTCCTCACCACAATATACGTGCATTACCAAATTTAAATAGGATAGTTTATTGATGAAGGGTCGAGTAGAATTTAAATCTACTGTGACCGACATTTATATATTTCCCTGTATGTTTTCTGTCAGATTCCGTTTCAGCCATTAGGCGCACGCGCTAACAATTTAACCCAGGAAAACATTTAGTATTTCAATCTTCGTTTGTTGGTAGAATTATTGTGCAATTTTTCTTTTTTCATGACACAGTTCGCAACGGGCTATAAAGACATAACATTAGAGATTAAATTAAAGAGATACCCTGAAATGATTATGTCGCGGGCTGATGGTGTTCTGCCCAACATTTGTAAGTGTTAGCTATAATAGTAGCAGTAAGGAGGCGCCGGCCCTCCCGTCTGATCCCTATCACGACAACCTCTAACCGGTGCAGGAATTGAAATTCATTAAAGACAGATATTAACATGTGATGGCTTAGTATATTTCTACAAATATAATAGAGACCGTTTCTGTTGATATTAATAATATGTTACATTTCACACTCGGCGTGTAAGAACATTTGCGCGAGAGCGTTGGCCCTTCATCTCAGCCATATGCAGTTGATATGCTATTTTCGAATTATACTAATCACAGCACGTCCTGGTGAGAACAGGAGGTTCCCGAACTCTGGACCAAATCTACACTCTCGGATTCACAATCACAATCCACAGGCTCTCAAACCAAATAGTTTCACATTTCCCCTTCCGTAATAACTGTGATTTCCTGTGGCTTTCTACCGCGAGTTCCTAAGGAAAACAGACACACCTTCTAATAGAGTTTTTATGTCAGGAACGCTCTAAAAGAGCTGTAAAACGTCATAAACAAAGCTCTGCTTATGCGCTGGAATTGCAATAGGTATTATTCCGATAGACGTTTGTATAAATAGGTATTATTTCGTTAGACGTTTGTATGAATAGTCCATTTGATCTTTTACTTCTGATTTCCTTTATTTTTCCCTTTTCTTCTTGAAAAGAGATTCTATATAGCTCAATCACAAATATATGTAGATTATATACAGTGATGGGGCGTTTCATCGCACTGCTTATTAACGCCTCTCTGAGCACATTAAGACGATTCCTATATCTTGGAATGTTCAGTTGAGGACCAGTTTCAGCGATGGTGTGCTTCAGACCGTAACTCTGGGTCGGTCGTTAATACAGTAACAGGTTTTGCTTGTCAAACGATTCAAAAAGATACCTTTCATTGCATTGTGACAATGGTATTTTCTCTGTGGAATCACAACAAAGTAACACCAGAGCGGGCTAATTCAGAGCTATTTCTTGAATCTGTTTCCACAAACGCATGATCGATACAATACGCTTTTTACATTGCCGCTCGGAACGAAACACATTCCAAAGCAGCATTCAGAATCCGTCTTTTTCATAGATCTAAAAAATAATCAAAAAGGTTTGGCTGGTATAATATCCTTAGATATGATGGATAAAATGCTTTATTCTGTGTGTCCATACACATCTAATAGACACGGTGATAATTGTAAGCTAGATTCGACCGGATACTTTATTTATTCTTTTCATCTTAAGTTCCATATGTTGAGTAACTGTTCCATGCTAGTTATATACATAGTACTGTGTGTAAAGAAGGTGTTCTGGTGTATAATGTTATATACATAGTGATGTGTGTAAAGTAGGTGTTCTGGTGTACAATGTTATATACATAGTACTGTGTGTAAAGTAGGTGTTCTGGTGTACAATGTTATAAACATAGTACTGTGTGTAAAGAAGGTGTTCTGGTGTACAATGTTATATACAGAGTACTATGTGTAAAGTAGGTGTTCTGGTGTACAATGTTATAAACATAGTACTATGTGTAAAGAAGGGGTTCTGGTGTACAATGTTATACACAGAGTACTGTGTGGAGTAGGTGTTCTGGTGTACACTGTTATATACAGAGTACTGTGTGTAAAGAAGGTGTTCTGGTGCACAATGTTATATACAGAGTACTGTGTGTAAAGTAGTTGTTCTGGTGTACAATGTTATACACAGAGTACTGTATGTAAATTAGGTGTTCTTGTGTACAATGTTATAAACATAGTACTATGTGTAAAGAAGGTGTTCTGGTGTACAATGTTATACACAGAGTACTGTGTGGAGTAGGTGTTCTGGTGTACACTGTTATATACAGAGTACTGTGTGTAAAGAAGGGGTTCTGGTGTACAATGTTATACACAGAGTACTGTGTGTAGTAGGTGTTCTGGTGTACACTGTTATATACAGAGTACTGTGTGTAAAGAAGGTGTTCTGGTGTACAATGTTATATACAGAGTACTGTGTGTAAAGTAGTTGTTCTGGTGTACAATGTTATACACAGAGTACTGTATGTAAAGTAGGTGTTCTGGTGTACAATGTTATATACATAGTACTGTGTGTAAAGTAGGTGTTCTGGTGTACACTGTTATATACAGAGTACTGTGCGTAAAGAAGGTGTTCTGGTGTACAATGTTATACACAGAGGACTGTGTGTAGTAGGTGTTCTGGTGTACAATGTTATACGCAGAGTACTGTGTGTAGTAGGTGTTCTGGTGTAGAATGATATATTTATAGTATTGTGTGTAAAGTAGGTGTTCTGGTCTACAATGTTATACACAGAGTACTGTGTGTAGTAGGTGTTCTGGTGTAAAATGTTATATACAGAGTACTGTGTGTAAAGTAGGTGTTCAGGTGTACAATGTTATATACATAGTACTGTGTGTAAAGTAGGTGTTCTGGTGTACAATGTTATATACATAGCACTGTGTGTAAAGTAGGTGTTCTGGTGTACAATGTTATATACATAGTACTGTGTGTAAAGTAGGTGTTCTGGTGTACACTGTTATATGCATAGTACTGTGTGAAAAGTAGGTGTTCTGGTGTACAATGTTATATTTATAGTATTGTGTGTAAAGTAGGTGTTCTGGTGTACAATGTTATATACATAGCACTGTGTGTAAAGTAGGTGTTCTGGTGTACAATGTTATACACATAGTACTGTATGTAAAGTAGGTGTTCTGGTGTACAATGTTATATACATAGTACTGTGGGTAAAGTAGGTGTTCTGGTGTACAATGATATACACATAGTACTGTATGTAAAGTAGGTGTTCTGGTGTACACTGTTATATACATAGCACTGTGTGTAAAGGAGGTGTTCTGGTGTACAATGTTATATACATAGTACTGTGTGTGAAGTAGGTGTTCTGGTGTACAATGTTATATTTATAGGATTGTGTGTAAAGTAGGTGTTCTGGTGTACAATGTTATATACATAGAACTGTGTGTAAAGTAGGTGTTCTGGTGTACACTGTTATATACATAGTACTGTGTGTAAAGTAGGTGTTCTGGTGTACACTGTTATATACATAGTACTGTGTGTAAAGTAGGTGTTCTGGTGTACAATGTTATACACAGAGTACTGTGTGTAGAGTAGGTGTTCTGGTGTACAATGTTATATACAGAGTACTGTGTGTATTATTGTTTCTATCAGGTAATAACCATTAAGCTTCACTGTATCACATATTTGGACTTTCCCTGTAATGTT